TGTGTTTATTGTTTAAAGTTATTGAATACTGTTACCTATTCTTACTTACTTTTACTATGCTCAATACTAAGCATTTTCTACGGTAAAGATGTAAAAACTGGACATTAAGTTGTCTTCAATATCACTAACATCATTAGTACACTTTATATGTAATTCGGTAACATCAACTTATACAGAAGGATTTTCCTAAATAAATTAAAAAAACTTATTTATAATTTTCGATTCAAAGCACAAAAACAGCCTTAACAAAATTGAAAGTATTTTCTTAATTTCAGTTAGTACATTTTTCTGTGTTGTAATATGGATTTATCATTAATACCTTATAGTCTTTGTACATCAATAGATGAGTGTTTAATTATTTCTATGCATGTTTATTGGTTTATTTGACATTTTACTGAATCTTTATCTTTCTTCGACATTGATAATCAATCTACGATTTTGACGTAATTCATTCTATCTGAAAGACTAATAATTCGTGGATATATATATGAAGAAAGAGAGAGAGGGAGTGAGGGAGGTAGGTAGGTAGGTAGGAAAGGAGGGAGAGAGAGCTAGAAAAAGAGAACGATTAGAAATCTTTTCCAGAAATTCGCATACAAATAATCCGTTATTATATGTTCATTTAAGTGTAGACAACTGAAACTAGGATCAGTTAACTAATATTCAGACATACTGTACATTCCACCCTTAATATATGTATTAAAAAGATAAGCTGAAAATTCATTCTAACAAAATTTTAGGCATGATAAATTGTTTTATACTTATTTCTAGAAAAAAACGAAGATAATATTGATTAATAACTATATTTTTCACATCGTATTGTTTGTTTAAATTTTCCCACTTGACGAGTCCCAAATAGGACAAAACGCGCGTCCTGGATTCTACTGTTAGCCACTATCCATCTTTGCTTATAGTAAAGATGGATAACTATATTTTTGTTCAATGATGGCAGTTTTAAACTTTTTATTTTTACAAAAGATTAAGTTATTTATTTGTTCTGATTTTTTTTGAAGAGGATTGTTTTTCTGTTTAAATAGTACTATTTAATAGATTTGTAAGTTCAACAGAGCAGAAAAAATTTCCGAAATAAACACTTAAACGCAATTTTGAACTCATATCAACATTATGGAAATGTTGTAGTAGATAAGCTTCGTTAATCAGTCATCTTGATAACCGTTATTCTATGTAAATCTCAACGACATTTGAATTCATAAGGCAAAAAGAAGCGGAGACTACAATTTATTAGCGGATAGAACAAATCACAAGGCTTCAAACATAATGAGCGAATTTGAAGCAGAGAGGCAAATGTAAGTGTGAGAACAAATATAGAGGCGAATTTATAGTCAAATAGAATCAAGGCGCAGCTAGGCAAGGCAAAGTCTGATAATAGGATTCGAGCATATACATACATGAGGAAGAGAATGATTCATCGAGCGATACTCACTCTACCAACATTTAAGCTCGAGAGAGACATATGTTTAGGCTGTCACATGTGATCAAGAGTACACGTGTAAACAGATACGATAGTGATCATAATATTACAAAGAAGTAGTCGAATTGTTACTGTTCGAATAACATTGTCTTTCAAATAAGTTAATTAATGGGCTTAACCAAAGTAAAACATAATAGAAATTGATTGTACGAAAATCACCATACTGTGACGTTCTGGTTTATTTCTACTAATTTATGTAATATAAATTGATTGTTTTATTTTTGCACAGCTTAAATAACGAGCAAACCAGAGAGACCAGTCAAGGACAAAGTAGGAAAGACAATCACTGAGATTCAAGAACAGAGGAAAAGATGGGCAGAATACTTCGAGGAACTGCTGAACATACCAGCCCCATTGAATCCACCGGACATTGAAGCAACACACACTGACCTTCCAATAAATGTCACTCCACCAACGATCGAAGAAGTCAAGATGGCCATCAGACAAACCAAGAGCGGGAAGGCGGCAGGACCTGACAATATACCAGCAGAAGCACTGAAGTCAGACATTGAAATAACTGCAAACATGTTTCATCTTCTATTCAAGAAGCTTTGGGAAGAGGAACAAGTGCCAATGGACTGGAAAGAAGGATATCTCATCAAGATACCAAAGAAAGGAGATCTGAGCCTATGTGAGAACTACAGAGGCATCAGTTTGTTATCAGTACCAGGAAAAGTTTTCAACAGAGTGCTGCTGAATCGGATGAAAGACTCAGTAGACGCCGAACTTAGGGATCAACAGGCTGGATTCCGTAAGGATCGGTCGTGCACAGACCAGATTGTGACACTACTGATCATCGTGGTACAATCAGTTGAGTGGAACTCATCACTATACATCAACTTCATTGATTATGAGAAGGCGTTTGACAGCGTGGATAGGAGAACATTATGGAAACTTCTTCGACACTATGGAGTTCCTGAAAAGATTGTCAACATTATCCAAAACTCATACGATGGACTACGGTGCAAAGTGGTGCATGGAGGACAGCTGACAAGGCTGTCTACTCTCCCCATTCCTCTTCCTTCTAGTGATTAACTGGATTATGAAGAATTCGACATCTGAAGGGAAATACGGAATACAATGGACTTCTCAGAATCAATTAGATGATTTGGACTTCGCAGATGACCTAGCCCTCCTCTCTCATACACACGAACAAATGCAGATGAAGACCACAAATGTAGCAGCAGCCTCAGCATCGATAGGCCTCCACATTCACAAAGGAAAAAGCAAGATTCTCAAATGCAACACGGAGAACACCAACCCAATCACACTTGATGGCGAAACTCTGGAAGAGGTGGAAACATTCAAGTACCTGGGGAGCATCGTTGATAAACAAGGAGGATCGGATGCAGATGTAAAGGCAAGGATTGGCAAAGCAAGGGCAGCATTTCTACAATTGAAGAACATATGGAACTCAAAACAACTTTCAACCAATTTCAAGGTGAGAATCTTTAATACGAACGTCAAGACAGTCCTACTGTACGGAGCTGAAACGTGGAGAACTACTACGGCCATCATCAGGAAGGTACAAGTATTTATAAACCGTTGTCTACGCAAAATACTCAACATCCATTGGCCGGATACTATCAGCAACAGCGTTTTATGGGAGAGGACAAACCAGCTTGGAGCTGAAGAGGAAATTAGGAAAAGACGTTGGAAGTGGATCGGACATACATTAAGGAAATCACCAATGTGCATCACGACTCAATCCCTAACTTGGAATCCTGAAGGGAAGCGGAAAAGAGGAAGGCCAAGGAACTCACTACGCCGGGAAATAGAAGCCGATATGAAAAGGCTGAATAGTAACTGGAAAGAACTGGAAAGGAAGGCTCAGGACGGAGTTGGATGGAGAATGCTGGTGAGCGGCCTATGCTCCTCGATGAGGGTAACAGGCGTAAGTAAGTAAGTAAGTAATTTAATGTCACATATTTTTACTGTCTCAAGCATTATAAACAAAGATAGATGGTGTATAGCAGTGGAATGACGCGTGTTTCTTCCTATTCGAGACTCGTCTGCTGGATGAACCTGTATCCCATAGTTGATGTTTACCATATAAGCTAGTGGCTACCAGGAATCAATAGCTAAGTGGATAACCTGATGGCGTGTGAAGCAAACGGTACTGTGTTCGAGTATCGTAGTAAGTAAAGCTGCTCAACTAATTACAAGGGATCTACTAATAATTAAAATTATAGATGAAACAATTGGATCATCATTTGTGTTATTAGTAGTAAGAAATAAATTAAAGCTGTTATCAATCCATAAACTTCAAAGAATAGTAAATAACTCAACTAAATCTCTAACATTTTGGTTGATATTCCAGACCACATAACAGCAAATATCTGTGAGTACTCTTAAGAACCATTAAAATATTATAAACTAGTGATTCATTGCTTTATGTTGTACTAGACCTGTATCCATAATTTATTTACAACGGTTGATAATCCTATTGACTTCAGTTAATTACTATAAACAGTAATCAAATGATTTCATATGGTTTTATACCAACAAAGTTTACCAAGGCCTTTTAAATACCTATAACAGCAAATGGAATAAATGTTCACCAGATTAGTACAACAACTGTAGCCAACAAATAATTAACATGATAATGACTGTTTATTTCATCTTTAATGTTTCATTTATTATACTGAGTTCTGTAAAGTCAGATTTTAGATTGAGAGTCAAATATTGTATAAGATGGTTTCTTTCTATAAATTAATTATCATTAGTTAATCGAGACTATGTTTACCTAAGTGAAGTATTTATATAAACCGAGTGACTTTAAAAACATAAACAGTATTCTTGTAGTGAACAGCAACATGAGTGGGGACAATCGAATGTATTTGGGCCCAAATTACAGACTATCTCACTAAATTCTGATAACCATACACTCAGCAGTTAATTAGCAAAATAACAATCAATTAATTTAATCTTAACTGTTTCTTCTGCAAATACCAGTCTGTCTTCTTTAATTCCATTGTTTATGCATTTTCATACCGATTTCGCTTCATTCTTGTTCTTTCCTTATCGATCTTCTGCCAAAATACATTCTATATCTGACCTTCACCATATACTACTTATGTGGATAATAAGTAGACCACACCACACTCTGATATTAGATATACCATAATTATATATAATAGTAAATGGTGTTCAATACACTTCAAGTAGATTTTATAGACTCTTGAGGATTCCACGCTTAAATGAAGTTCTTCAACATTCTATTCTAGTTATGTATTGACGTAAATAATAGTTCAGATCATTATAAAAGCATTTATCTACAAGTTCAATTAATTTACTGGTTCGTTAAAATCAACGTTATCTAATTTAGAGAAAAATTATATATCAGATAGTTGACCAATAAACTATCGTGATTTCAATGTCTATTCTATAGAAATTACGAATCAAAATATCGAAACAATCAAGATTGGAAAAAAAACCTTTACTTCTAACATACACATACATTCACAACCCTATAAACATATTGACATAAAAACGGGCAACTAAACACACAAATCATCTATGGACGACGATGATAGAAAAGTTATAGCCAGGTTTATTAAACATTATAAATTCCTTTGGAAAACAGTGATAAAAATTAGTTACCTGACTTACCATTTCACTGATTTTATCAGTTACCATTTCAACTAATATAGATAAAAGATCTAATTCTAAGCATTACATTATCACAGTACACTAGAGATAACATTAAAGAAAAGATAGAGATAATTAGTAATGTTGAACTTGCTCATAAGTCTTTTTTCTTGAGTAGTATTAATAATAAAAACATAGAAACATTGTACATTGCAACTAATCATGTCAAATAGTACTAATATTACTACAACTGCTATTGCTGATAATAATAATAATAATAGTAGTAGTGAGACGAAATCAGATAAAATTATTCAAACGACTGCATCTATAGATGAATTAATTTATGGATTATATCATATTACAATGGAGATATCACCTACTTGTCGTCAAGCAGCTACATTATTTTTATCAGGATTTTTTGTTGTTGGAGTACTTTGTAAGTTTGAATAATTTAGTTTGATGAATTAACACCTTTTTATAGTAAATTACTTTTTACAATGTGTTTTTACTAATGTTGCTAATTGTTTTTCGTAAGGAAGCAGCTCTCCTTGTTCACGCAAAATACGACACTTATCATAATGCCAGTACTCATTATTACCTCAAGAAATATGGAACAGGTAGTATGAAAACTCTGTTTAATTACAGTATCTATGTATAAACAAAATATAGACTTGAAATTACTGAAATTAGTTTATTATATATTACGCTGAATGAACAAAATCTACCATAAAACTTGAAGAACAATAAATTACCGTTAATGTCACGAAATAAGCTAAGATGATTCTGAACAGTGTTAAATGTAGCAGACACTGATAAAGATGGTTAGTGGCTAGCAGTAGAATCGCCCTATTTGGGACTCGTCAGACGAATGTACCTGCATCTCAGAGTTGATGTTCACTCTGGGACTCGAACCCATTACCTTTCGCTCCAAACGCCATTGTGTTATCCACTCAGCTACCGAGTTCTGATAGCCACTAGTATGTGCAATAAGGTGAAGTTTGAATACACTTAGTATTGTTTGTTTGAATTTTCCTACTAATGTTTAGGATTGCAAATAGTCAGTCTCTAATTGGCATATGTGCATACTGTGCGTATTGTCTCGATATCGGAAGATTCAAACAAACAATACTAAGTGAATTTAAACAGTGATAAAGTTTGAAAACATTTTTAAAATTTCACAGAATATTAGTTGCTCAGCTATTAAAACTATGTGAGTAAAAAATAATAGATGCTCCAAATAATTTTTAAACAATACTACAATATACATATATAGTTTTCACTGAACCCCTTGATAATAACACCTAAATGGAAACTTTCTTCGTGCAAACTAATCTTAAGTTCCGTTCAATAGCATAAATGCAGTTAAGCTTTAGATTTTAGAACGAAACATCTTGATTAAAAAAACTTGCATAAAGTGTGCTGATTATTTATTATTATTATTAGCTTTATTCAGAGCACCAAGTATTTTAGCGAGTTTTTGTTTCTTATTTCTTGACCTATGTTGACACTAAATATTGGGTGGTCGCCAGTTAGATATTAGCATTTCAGAAGTCGAAGTCTGAATAATATTCATCCCTTTTAATGCACATTCCCAGATATCAAGATGTCTCTGATTATAAATTTTTGTAACTTTTACAGCAAAAGGTCGTAACCTTTTCACAAGCGCACCTGAATAGGTTATACAATTAATTGACATAATGGTCTGTTGAAGCAAACAAAGAAACAGAAAACTTGTTGAAATATCTAGATGGCAAGAACAGGTAGCCCAAATATTCAAGCAAGCCGCTCGGATGAGGCCGGTGTCAATACTAAATATCGATATTTTTAAACCAAAATGTCTGACAATCTTTAGCTATTTCGATCATTCATAATTATGCTATTACTGTGTATAATTTTAAGTTCAAAGAAATCTGGGTTTTTTTCAATCGTCATTTTCAGTATTTATTGTTCAAAAACCTGAAACATGATTTACTAACCCGATTTACTTGAAAATTCATTACTCCAGAATGTAATTTTACTTTAAGCAAAATGATTGGTTTAATTGTAAATGATTTAAGCTAGTTCATTCTATATAAGCTTTATCCGTTGGATTGTATTCATTAATTGCACTTTTAAGTAAACACTTCAAAAGTAAATGTTTCAAGTCACATGAAAAAGGGCATCCATTTACTAGATTATTAAAACAAAATAGTTAATTCAGTTTAAAATTCTATTAAGTGATTTTAAAGTGCCGAAACGTGGATATGCACCACTGAGGAGTCCTATAATGGAACAAAACGGCTATCCAGTGCTTCCAAGTTTCCGATGGTGGTCTAGCTTAGATTGATTCATGGTTCCAACTATTAAAATACACTAATACAAAAACAGCCATGGAATTTGTACATGACAAATATTTTTAAGATAAAATTATGAATAGACAACCAATTTAATATGATATAAAGCACAGTTAAGTAATAGGTAGATCAAATTTCAATGAAGACTTTGGAAACTTTACGGGTGCCATATACATTTCCGTAGTTAACTTTAGTCGCCTATATTGGATACCTATTTGTATGTAAGTAAATATCATATATCAGTACAATTGGAAATCAGTGTTTATCAGTATGTGTTTTAGTTTGGCTATCATGAAAAAAATTTGATTATTGAAAACACTGTGATAATTTAAATTCAACTTAGTATTGTTTGTTTGAATCTTCCCATCGATTTGTTAGGACTCCAACTGGTCAGTCTCTAATTGGCATATATGCATACTGTGCGTAATGCCTCGATATACCTTAATTCACAAGCATGGTTAGCAGAGATGGATAGTGGCTAGCAGTGGAATCCAGGACGCGCGTTTCGTCATATTTGGGACTCGTCAGCTGGATGTACCTGCATCTCAGAGTTGATGTTCACTCTGGGACTCGAACCCAGTACCCTCGCTTCAAACGCCATCGCGTTATCCACTCAGCCACTATCCATCTCTGCTAACCATGCTTGTGAATTAAGCTATATCGAGGCAATACGCACAGTATGCACATATGCCAATTAGAGACTTACCAGTTGCAGTCCTAACAAATCGATGGGAAGATTCAAACAAACAATACCAAGTAAATTTAAACTTCATACCATCGCACAAGTAAGTGGCTATCAGGACTCAGTGGCCGAGTGGATAACGCGATGGCGTCTGAAGAGAGGGTACTGGGTTCGAGTCCCAGAGTGAACATCAACTCTGAGATGAAGGTACATCCAGCTGATGAGTCCCAAATATGACGAAACGCGCGTCCTGGATTCCACTGCTAGCCACTATCCATCTATGCTAACCATGCTGTGATAATTGTTCGGTTATCTCCAATTTGAAATAGTGTCAGTGTTGTTACAAAACTCTGGTTTGTTGGACTGCACCAGTTGTCCTAATGTGTATGCTATCTTAAAGAAATGGATATCATATTGACTATTGAGAGATTTGAAGTTGTATTACTGAATACTTAAACATTCATTCTTCAGTAACAATTTTGGGCATTTCACTAGATATTGATTGCCTACATTTCATTGTTTTTAAAAGTTATTTTTATTTGCAACATTAAAAATATACGAGACTATTCTATTTCAAACACTGCACGCACTGAGAACAAACTAGAAGGTAGTATAATAGAGTACACCACTTTTGTTATCAAGATAAGTGGAAGCAATTATGGATAACAGTTCGTATTCCAATGTAAATCCTGAAGGTTTTACTTTTTAGTTTCACAATATGCCTAACTAATAAAACTTCTTTTTTGATGTATTAAAATAATTTACGTTTTGACTGATACGCGTGGTAGTCAATTCCTTATACTAGCAATTTAACTAAACGGCCATTTTGTCCTAGTAAAGAACTCTTTGAAAGTGCGCATCCACAATTCCGCTATTGAGGTTCAAACCCACGACCTTCCATCTCAAGCTCGAAAGCTGAACCTCGAGATAATTTAGCCGGCATCCAACGGTGTTATTGTCTAACTTCAACCAATCTACGCGCAATATCGTGCTTCCAGGTTTTCAATGGTGGGCTAACATTGATCGATTCGTCCTCTCAGTGAAAACTCAACAATCTCCACCACCCTATACTGATTATTGAACGAAACGATGGTCAAGAAATTATGAAGGAAAATTTAAGATATGCAATAGAAGACAAGATTTTGGAACTCAAACTCATCAGAGTATTTTAACGTTTACTCGTAACACGTAAGGTTTCGAAAATAGTATCTAAAAGTCGAACAACCTTTTCTAAAAATTTTCATATTACTATACGTAACAGATACATTTAACAGCCATTTAGTGAATGAGGACTGCAAACGCTATCACTCATAAGCTAGCGAGGAAATATTCTCATTCGTTTATCTATTTTTTAAGGTTAACAGTGTCTTTAAACCGAATATTTGTATATAGTTCATAGAAAACAAGCAACAACTCTAGCACGATGTTTCTTAAATTGTACATCATTCTATCAATCTAGTTAGTCTCCAGATGGCTATCAACCTTGTAGAATAATTTGTAGATTACAGAGAACTATAATATAATGCAACAAATAAAAATAACATTACTGTTATAAGAAATTACCTGAACTCCAATTAGATGTAGATGAACCTATTACCAGATAGTTTCTGTTAGATCTAGAGCTTTGATTCTTGCTATGCCACGTACTACTAGACTAATTGAACGATAGAACCCGCAACATCGCAGGAGAGAAGACAGAAAACTAGTAAGTAGGAATGTATTTCAAAATCTAAAAAATTCCCATATTGTGATTACGAACAACATATATAAGCGAACAATATTGTTTTCGATTAGATCCTCATCAGGCATTACTCTAATATACAGTAATATTTATATGCATATACGAAATTATTAAACCAATCAAGGTAGTTTATGAGTCAATGATAACAGTGAATTCCTATAGCTTCTGCCATGTGTAAGAGACGATATCGAACCCCATAAAGAAAACCAGTAGGAATACGATAAGTAACTTTAAATGACCGATTTCTGTCAACCTTATGACCGCTATCGATACAACAATGATACAACAATAAATACAAGTTCTAAAGGATATATATTGAAACTAGGTTACTGCTATTGATCAGATTACGTTTTCATGGCCTTCAGAACACTTTTTCAATTTGATTAAAATGCTCAAACTATCAACATCGGTCAAGTCCTTTGATAATGCATTCATCATCTATGTTACTAAAGTCAAGCCAGAATCACACTTCACTCATGTACATTGATAAAACTAACGAAGCCCAAATAATATCACCACAGTTTGGTTTTTGTAACAAGAAAAGCTTAACTCTGTTGCGATTGCACAAATAAATCTAACTTTATGAAATCAAGCACTTTGATTCATTCCCCCTCATAAATATGCAAAAAAAGCAGAGGTATTATTGACCTACCATAGAATACAACAAGAAACATCATTAG